ACTAATCTAGCACCACATAATTCAACTAATTCTTGAACTTGTTCAAGTGTTTGTAATGGTGCACAATCATTTGATGAACAACGTAAACATATAGAATATTTATCAAATAAATATGTAGGTGTTAAACGTGATCGACGCATTCCACCATGATCAGAACCTAAACTTGTATCACCACGAATTTCATATGGACGTTCATCAATAATTATTTCTTGAGATAAACATTCATTTAACCAACGATATGAAACAATAAATAAATGACGAGCTATTCCTTGAATTATTTTTCCAGTTAATGGACAAACAAGAGAAGAATTTTCATTAACAATAACATGAGTTGTTGATGAATCGACTGTTGAACTTGTTGATATACCAAAACGAGCAATAAACGAGCGAAATTGAGACTAACAAAAAAAAAATAAAAAAGATTTAAGATTATTTTTTGTTATTAATATACTTTTTGATTTTCATCGAGTGATGATGTTGTTAAAACTAAATTTCGACCAGTTGAACATGTATCATCAGTTGATGGAATTAAAAGAGTTGATGTATGATCAATTATTGTAGTTGTATCAAGTTTTTCAATTGAAGATATATCATCAATTAATTGAGGATTTTGTTCTATTGTTATTGTTGTTGAAACAATATTTTCTCTTGGATTAATAGTAATATTTGAAGGAAGAGTTTCATTTTGTTCTTGTAGAATTTCAACATTCTCATGAGTTTGATTATCTAATTCTGTTGTTGTCTAAAAGAAAATATTTAAAAAATAAAACTAAAGAATTTATACATTATCTTTTCATTTTGCTCTAGGAAACTCTCAATCAAAAATATCATCTGGAAAGTTAAATGTGACATTCTGATATCTCTATTTCTATCGAATAATAAAATATAGTAAAAAAGAAATAATTCATCGTGAAACGGCTTTGTAAATGAACATTTTTAAGCGATAGTAATGGATGCGCCACATATAATGGAAGAACTTTGTATTTTAATTTTCATTCACTTAATATAATGTATTTAAAAAAAAAATATACCATAAAATGCAGCGTGAAAAGTTCTACAATTTATACAGTAAAATTTATTGTAATTATGTTCGAAAAAAAGCAAAATTTAGTACGAGCGATTTTCGCACGGTTGAGATTGGTTCACTCAAAATTTTTTCCCATTTTAAAAGCCCAAAAGTCAAGTATAAAATGAGCGATCTCATATAATTTTGTAGAGCTTTTCATGCTCCATCTTGTGGTATATTTTATTTTTTTTTACTACAATATATTAAGTGAATGAAAATTGAAATGCAAAGCGCGGCCATTATATCTAGCGCACCCGTTATATACAGCTAGCAAAATTTGGTTTCAGTTATTATCCTTCGTATGTAATGCAAAATAATATTCAAGGTAGAAATTATCTAAAAATTTCTTCTCTCGTCTCTCATGTATTTTCATAATCTTTAATTTAAAAAATGTTAGAAGACACCAAGATATTGTGACGATTTCGAAGTAAATATACTTCTTAAAGTTACCATTTTTTTGAGAAATTAATTAACTAAAAGAAATATTCAATAACGTTCTATACATTGTTCCTCCAAGAAGAGTTTAATTATATCAGATAGAGATCTGACATAAATGTATATCATAAATAACGCTCCCTATTTTGAAATTTAACTCAATCCATGTTTCTTTTACTGCTCTTATCAATATTTTATTTGTTTGTCAAGCTATATAAAAAAAGAATTTTGCTACAGATAATAATTCTTGCCTAAACTTGAACTATTTCCTTCGATACACACTATTAGATCTTGTATGTCTATTGCATCGAATGTTAAAGATCTCTTTATGCCTTGAAGAATAAATTTTCAATCAGGATAAATTCATATGAATAAATCATTTTTCATATTGACAAACAGACAATATTGATTAGATAATCAATCATCATCTATATTATTTTTTAATCCAATATTTCAAAGATTCTTCTATATGATAATTGAATTATGAAATAATTAAAATTATCATACTTCATCAGAAATTTCTTCGATAGTTGTTGATTCATTATTAGATATAGAAGGTATAACAACCATTCGATTATGAATTTTTCGACGAGTACGAAATTTTCGAAATCGAGAATAATTTTGTACAATTCGACGTTTTGAATGATTTTCTGGTATTATTATTTGTGGATGTGAATTTGGTATTGTTGGAACAATGCTGATAAATCGAGACATTTTCTCCATAAATAAACGTTCTAATTTACTGTATCGCTTAAATAAAATAAATAAATAATTAAATAAATGATTAATATTTAACTTACGAGAACACAAGGACAAACAGAAACATCTTGACAACAATCATGTATAGACGATGAATTTTGATTATTTTCAGTTTGTATTCCAATTTCATTTTTTTGAATGATTGTTGTTGTTGTTGTTGTTTGAATTTGTTGATTGATTTCTGATTGACTTATTGCTGTTAATGTTTGAATTGGTTGTCGATGACTTTTTCCTGTTTGAGATAGAGAAATTGGTCGAAAAATTTCTTCTTCATTTTGTGTTTCAACAATTTGTGTTTGTGTTTTAATAGAAGATGATGGTTCTTCAAGTTTTTTCATAAGTCGATCAATATCTCGTTGCCAAGAACTATCATTATGTTGTGTATCAATATCAACTAATGTATCTGGAATAATTAAAGTTTCTGTTTGAGTATCATCAATAGTATGATCATGATCATTTATATTATAAGTTGTATTTGTTATTGTTGGATAACGAGTATTTGATGGATTACGATTAGCAATAATTTGAGCATTTGTTATTGCAGCTCGAGCAAGATTAGTGCGACCATCTAGCAAAAAAATGTTATTTATTAGAAATAAGACAAGAAATTTTTTAATTATACCAGCAGTTTCATAGATAAGTTTAACTTGTTCAATATCTTGAGTTTCATCATTTGATGTTTGATTTTCATCAGCATATGTCGTAACTACAAAATAAGTCAAAAGAAAAACAAATAACATAAAGAGAATATGATATATATGGTTTTTCTTAAATAGATTTTTCAAGAAGAATACACTTTAAGATTACAGATGGTGCTTCTCATCATGAAACATGATTTCATCTTTCGATATGACGTCATATCGATAGGTGGAACAATTTTTTTATGATGAGAGAAACACCTACTTAAGGAATATTAATATGTATACCTTTAGATCGTTTAGTAGTTTTTGTCTTTTTGTCGTTGCGTTGTCGTTTTTTTTGATTAACAAATTGAGAAAAACCAGAATTAATATTTGACATAAATGAATTATCATTTTCATCAATCATTGGTGTTAAAGAAGACTTTTGTGACGAACGAGTAGCAATACGTTGTTGTCCATTTTTTGAAATACTTTCTGTTCGTTTATTTGAAATTTTTTTTTTTAGAATTATTTTCTGTATTAGTTAATATTGCTTTTCGATTTCGACTTGAACTTCGTGTACGAAATGCATCAGAGATTGAATCATCCATTGAAAATTGATAAGGATCATCTGTACTTGTCATTGATTCGATTGATTGTTGTTCAAAAAGCACTTACGTAAAAAGAAAGGGAAGAAATTAAAAAAGGACAAAAAGAATGAATCATTTAACATTGAAAAAAAAGTGATTCACAGCCAATCAGTATCTTATAGTATTTAAAAAATGAAATAAAACTCTTTTTATATTCATTTTTACTTTAGAATAATTCTCAGATTTGCAATTCTTCTTAATTTTATTATTTACTTTTTGATAGAGGTCGTTAACAACAAGTATAAAAAGATAAAATTTATTATTTTACTGATAACAGAATAAAAAGCCTCGTCGCATACTCGTCACAATCGCAAATATTCCACAGGAAAACAATAAAAGTATTACTTTACATTTAGTCTGTTATCGAGTGAAAGACTCAAGACTTATTGAAAACAATGAGTGATAAGATAATAGCTGCTGATCAACTTGCTTTAATATTGAATAAATATTCGTTAGGTGAATTGACATCACCCATCGAACGATTAACAAGTGGATGGACAAATATAACATTGAAATTTAGTACAAAACCTGATGGAAAAGACTATATTCTTCGTGAATATCTTCCAGGAACACTAAGAAAAATATCTTTAGAAAATATTAAATTTGAATTAGATTTTATTGCTTATCTTTTCAATGAACTTAATCTTCCTGTGGCACCTATGATTGATCCACCTGGAATTTTTACACTTGATAATGAAAACTATTGTGTTCTTTTTCCATTTATTCAGGGTATTAAGTATTTAGATACACCTGAAACACCGGTTCGTCAACTATGGCAAACATTAGAAATTAGTCGATTTCTTGGTCGAATGCATTCAAATATTAAAACGAAAAAATTCAAACTTGTTTCCTCGAATCGATGTTCAATTAATTTTGTTAATATTAAATATGAACTTGTCCATTCATGTGAAGAATTTGCAGAAGAGTATCCCGATTTATATAAAAGAATACGTCTAATAACGGATCAGCATACAAAATCAATTCCTTTGATTAGTGATAAAGACGAGCAAGATATATTTGAAAAAAATCTTATGAAAAATTTGCCTATAGGTTATATTCATGCTGATATTCATGATGATAATGTTCTTTTTTCTCCGAATGAAAATAAACTTGCTGCTGTACTTGATTTTGATGATATGTATGTTGGTCCATTATTAATTGATTTAGCTTTAACTTTATGTTTATGGTGTGGTATTGGATCAATATTTAATTTTGAATATGCAAGAGAATTTTTATTTACTTATCAAAATGCAAGAGAAATGTTATTAACAGATGATGAATGGAATTTATTAGAAACTTTTTGTTATTTGACTATACTTAATCAAATATTATTTGTCATTGAAGCTGAACAATGTGCAAAACCAAGTGAGAATATGATAAATGAATTACTTTTGCCTATTGAACATATTGCAAAAGAAGAAAATATGTTTTTAAAAAAAGTTCGACAAATAAAATGAGTTTCTTTATGTTCTAAACGTGAACTGTCATTTCTGCAACTTCGGGTAATTTTGAAGCCATTACAGAAGAATTTGCTATCTGTTGAAAAGTTGGTTCGCCTGCAACACGTTCAGATATTTGTCGACGACAAACAATGCGACGTGTTGCAATTAGTGGAACAAAATTTTCATAAACCATTTTAGGTAATGGAATTATTTCATAACGATCTTGTGAAATAGCATTTTGAGGAACTCCAGGAGGTAATTGGATGTTATAGGAGTCATCGATTGAATTAAATGCAAGATCTTGAGCGGTTAAAAAACTTCGAGGTGGTGTAAGATTAACAAAACCTTGTTGTTCATCTAATTGAGAAAAATACCAAGGAGGTTCAATATAATTGTATGGATACCTTATGTAACTAAAACGAAAGAATATTTAAAAAAAAAAGAATCATTTATTGTTTTTTTCTCTTACCCATGCAAATTTTGTAATACTCCTTGTTGTACTAAATGTTGAATTTGTTCTCCTGGATTTGTAAACATATCGACAGGTGGTATTAGTGCCTGTTGAGCACTTATTATCGTTAATTTTGGTTTAATGTCAGGATATCTTGTTGTATATTCTTCATTATTTTCATAATCATCAATTGCATCGTTTGATGAAAATACAAGTGTATCAGCATATTTAATATTTTCAATACGTGGAGAATTATTTGTTGGTGGTCGAATTATTTCACCAGCAAGTACACGATCATTTAGATGAAAACGATATGAATCCGCTTCAAATAATGCTGATGATACATTTTCCGTAAAAGCAATATTATTATTATTATTATTAATAAATGGATTTGTTGTATCAGCGAGAGAGTCAAATCCTGTATTCATTGTAAATGTTGATTGAGGAGTATGATGTGATGGATCAGTAGCAATTGTTGATCGACCACCATTAGAATTCAACTTTTGATTGTACATTTCAACGAGATCATTCAACGACATTATTTATTTTGCGGTTTGTATGAATGTTGATAAGTGTGACGATATGTATGAAGCAAAAAAAAAGAAAAAGAATGATCAATAGGTGAATACATTTGATGCAATGCTTACTCGACCATATCAATTTATTTTGAATGAGAAAAAAGAGCATGAAAAGAAAGCTTTTGGCATATTGTCTATACAAAAACATACATTCGTCAATAATACTTGATATTATTCAAGGATGAGTTTTTCTTTATTTCAAGGTACATAATAACAAAAAAAGATAAGCAGACAAGATAATTTATTCGAATAACTGTATAATGACAATATTCTAAAAGAGTCTTCTGATTTAATTTATTTAAATAATAAGATCATCATTTAATGTATCGTTTATATTCCATTGATATCCATCATTTAACCATGAATTATATTGTCTAAATTCCCATGAATCATAAAATTGTTGTTTATATGGTATACCCATATCAAGAAAAAGTTCTTCTTGATAATCAAATGTAGACGGTAATGGTTCAAATTTTAATGGAATTTGTTTTAATCCATCGATTTGTTCTTTTAATCTTTTATCTGTTATTTGACATTGATTTAAAAATTCAGGATCTAATATTCCACCCATACGAAGTGCAAAAGCAACAATTGAACATGAATATGGACATAAACTTGAAAGAATGTATCGATCAGGTTGACAATATTCAAACATTGTATGTAAATGTATATTTCGTTAAGATATTTAAATGAATGAAAGACACGAATCTTTATGTAATAGAACCTATGAAAAATGGTGTCCTTATCGTTGTTCAATCAGCAGAGATTCAAGGTAAATATTGATTGAACGATGACCGGTCATGTAGGTGTCTTTTTTTGTAATTTTCGATTTGTGAACGATTAATACAACTAAAGATAATTCAAGAACGATACGCTTCATGTCTTTAATTTAACAAGAAAAAACGATGTTATATGTGTATTATGTCATAATATAAAATGAGTGCAAAGAACTATATAAGAATATTAAAAAAAAGAAAGATCATTTATGAAATCTTGTATTGATTTTAGTTCTTTGATTTGTTTAACAAGTCAACAATTATTTGTATGATGCAAGGTTACATCTCACAAAAATAGAACTCTTGGTATTTGATGGAAAAAGTTTCTTGAACTCATAATACTTAATGTTAGGTGACAAACGGTGAATGACATTTGACTTCTATTAAAAACAATTCATCAATTCCATTAAAGTAAATATATTCTTACTATTTGACGTATGGAATTGAATCCTTTGAAAGCTGTCAATGTTTCATATTTTGCTATGCACACTTTGCTTTTTTTGTAAAAAAAAGAAACTGAAGTCAATACAAATTTCCATTGCTCTATCATAGGTTTTAACTTTTAGATCACTTGTTAATTATAATGAAACTGTCGAAAGTCGAACTATTTCCAACTTTGTTATGAGCTGCACCTTTTATATTGTTTACAACGCTTTTATACACGTAAGGGTTTTTTTTAAAATATTAGAGTTGAATTAGCATCTTTTGTTTTGTGTAACGAATAGGTTCTTATTTTACCATCGAATCACATTCGTATAGTATTCAAGGGCGTTTAGTAGACAGATTCTTCAATATATCTGATTTATTGGTATTATATAGGAATCTCTCTAGTCGTTTTTTTTTCCTTATGATCTCCAAGTCCTAGTTTCATTTTCGGAGTCTATCAAATATTTTTTTACAGCCTTTACAGTTCTTTGAATACATATGAAACCCATGCAAATGTTAGATTGATAATAGTATGAATATTCTTTTATCTACATCTCTCAGAGAGCAGAAGAACAAATATGAAAATATATTGTAAGATTCAGTTTCGTTAAAAATGAGATTTTGGTCGTTGATTAGGTTTGGGACAACCTTCTTGATCTTTAGGTATCCTATTACTCCAGGATTTGACAACGTAGACAATTTCTTTGGTATCATTTGTAGTAGTGCCGAGCAGTTCAATTCAGTTCTTGAGTTGATTTGCAGTCATTTGAAACATTCTACAAAGATCTATGCGTTAGGTTTGATTCAAGTTAACAAATCCACTTTCTATTGTTTTAGCGAAAAACAAATTTATCAAACAGAACCTGAGAAATATAAAAAGACGTGATTTTTTTTTCAATATCTCATCAGGTCTTTTGTTTCAAGATGGATATGCAGATCTAGTTTATCTATCTATATTCTCAATGTATCGGTGTATAATTCTATTAAATTGACTAATGAGTAACGAATTTAATTCTTTACGTGAATTGAATTGGAACTGAGTTGAGTTGCTCAACTCTGATTTGTAAACTAATGATAAATTATGTTTTTAACGAGTGTCATTTATAGAAATTATTTTCTTACAAAATAGTATTCATTCTCTTTCTTTAAATAATCTTTGTTTATTTGGCTTGTTTATATATTTATTAAAACTCAATAAAATGCGATTCATAAGTGTTTTACGAATTTGAAACACTTTCAATAAATGCTATGGGATGAAAAAAATTTTTTTTTTTAAATTTCTTGAAATAAATAAAAATAATTTGCATGCATTATTTTAATTAAAAAAGAAAAGATTGTAAAGAAAAAAACATTGACCACCGGAAAAATAGAGTTGACTATAACTAGAAAAATATTTTCACATATTTATGAAATAACCATTATTGTTGATCCTTCTGTTTGATGTTGTTGCTGTTTTTTGGTTTTTTCATCAATTGAATAACGATAGACAATGAATAAAGCTTGTTTACATAATTCAATAAAACGATTACAACAAGCTAATTCAATCGGAGATAAACGATTTGTACTTGTTATTAATGATGATCCCCATGAACTTTAACAAAAAAGAAAAAAAGTCAAAATAAAGATAAATGAAGAAGTAATGTGTTATTTTTACATACTTATATCTATTTTGACATATATCCCATAAATATTGTCCATTATTTGCTAATAAACGTTGTTCTAATTTAGCAAAATGTTTACTTAATGATAGTTGTTCAACATATTGATCTATTTTCCATAATTGTTTCATTATTTGTTGAACATTATTCCAAACAATTCTTATAATTGCTTGTCTTTTTCGTGTATCTAATTTTGATAACCAAAATTCTTCTATTGATGATCGATATTTACTCCAATTTTCAACAATATCATGACAAATTCGTCGTGTTTCATCATCAGATTTATTTGGATAACGAATACATAATTGATGCATTTGTTCAAGTATTAATTGATAAAGACGATTTAATTCATCATCACTCATTTGTAATTCCTAGAAATAAGAAAACACACACACACAAGTTTTTTTTATTTATTAAGATTATAAAAATTTATTCTAACTTTAGGGGTATTTAATGATGTTGATCGACCAGGAGATGGTGTAATACTATTTGGTAATTTTCTAGATGTTTGTGTAATTGTTGTATATGTAACCATTTGAGATTGGCTATTTATTCCTCTGGATGCTAATCGAGATTGTTGACTTTGTCGATCTGTATTTTGGCTTGATGATATTGAATAAGTTTTCTTTTCAGTTATTCGACTTGATTTCATATCTGATGGACTTCCTTGTGTTTGTAAAGCTGGTCGTTGAGAAACATTTGAAGAAACTATTGATGTTTGCCGTTGTTTTCGAATAATTAATGGTGATAGTGTTGTTGAACGTAACACATTTGTTCGTGATTGTGTTGGATATCTTTTTAATAAAGAACTAGTTGTTGTTACGGTATTTGTTGATGATGTTGCTTTATTAACAAACTCAGAAGGCGGAGGTGAAGTTGATTGATGTTGATCGTCATCATCACTTAATTCGGAAGCAAAACTAGCTGATGGAGATGCACGTTCTATTGGAAGACTATTATTTGATACCTTTATTAAATAGAAATAAATCATGTGAAATAAAAGTAATAAGCAAAAATTTGTGCAGAAAATTGAAATACATACGATACAAACAATAGGATTCAATGGGAAAATTAATAATACAGTGAACTAACGATGGATATTGATATCAAAATGGGTAAGCACAAAGGTGATAAAATGATGAATTGCAACAACAACTAGTGCAACGATTAATTAAAACTTACTTCGACAAGGCTTACACATGACCATGATGAAAAAGAACTTTTGCTACTTGGAGCACTCTGAAAGTATCACGTGTAGAATTGATATTTTTAAAAACTTTTTTTTTTCTCTTTAGTCTTCCAGTTTCATCATGTAAGAAAGATTATTCTTTTCTATTCAAAAAGAAAAAAAAAACTCACAAAAGCTAAACGAGGATTTCGTTTTTGATCAGTTTGATCAAGATCTTCAAGTTCAGCCAATTGTTCTAATAATTCTTCTTCTTTATATCGATTATAATATTTTGTACTCCATGATATATCTTTTTTATTTGCATATAATACATCAAAACATTTGGTTAATATAGTCATTAATTCATTCATTCGAATACTATCTTCAACAGGAAATAAACGTATAAAACTTCCTAAATGACGATTTTCAAATGTTTCACGAGCTGTTTCACGTTGAAGAAGATATAATTTTTCTTTCTATTGAAAATAACAATTTTATATTGACATTAGAAGAATATTTTAAAACTTACCACATCAGCAAGTCGTTTTTGTCGAGTTCGAAAATCTCGATAAGTTCCATTCGAAAGAATAAGTGATGTATCATCCAATAGTCGACTAGTTTTACCCATATTTGAATATAAACGACGTTGTGCTTCAGCTTTTTCAATAGCAAGACTTTTTTTTCTGTCTGATGTTCGAAAACGAAGTAATTCAAATGTATCAAGTAATAATTTCATTTTTATATCAAAATCAATTTGTTCATTAGTACCAAAACTTGGACAACGATTTACCTATATTCATTATTTTATTTAATAATAAATTGAAAATTTTCGATACATACTTCAAGTACCCATGGTTTTAAATTTTGATCAACTAATATATCAAAACCAAGCAATTCAAAACAAACACTTTCACTTGCTGGTGAGGCACCGGGACGACACATTCGATAAGCAGCAAATAAATGTGGTTGAGCAAGAAATACTGTTTTGATTACAATGTTCTTTTAAGATAAATAAAAATATTTTTAATTACTCAATGTTGTTTTTTCCTTGAAAATATTTAATTTTACTTGTATGTCTCTCCAAAGTGTATTTGCATCTTGATTTTGTTTTCGTAAATATTCAAATAAAAACTTCAGTGACCGTTTACTTCCTGTGTTTTCTGTATCAGTATTCGATGTACTAATTTCATAATCAACATTATATTTATTTACGGAATAATTTGTTAAATGCATAAAAAGATGAGACTAGAAAATTTTAAAAAAAAATTAAATATATTTTTTTTTAAATATAAGATTACATACAGCATTTTTACGATTAGGTGTTTCATATTTTTCTGTACTCATACGAACAAGACCATTATTAAAAATAAATACACGAAGTGGATCGCATGATGTTAGTAATGCATAAATTCGCAGATCTTATTTATTTAAAGAAAAAAAGAAAATATTATAAATAATAATAGAAAAAAAAAGAAAATATTTTACCGAATTTATAACCATCGATAAGATAAGGTTCTCGAATATATTCTTGAATAATATAATTATCAATGGATTGAATTCGTTCATAATCACAAAAAACTTGAATTCTACGAAACAATTATTTTAATTAAAAATAAAATTAAACAAAAAAAAGTACAAATTTACCCATGTCCCATCGCACCATTATTCGGTTTAAGAATATAAGTAGATTGATCTTTTTTTGATTTACTCGAAGCATATGAATACCAAGTATTGTATTCATTTGGTAATATCCATGTTCTAGGCGTAAAATTATATTCATTTGGTAGAAGACGTGATAATCTGTGATAGATATAAATTCGACATTGGAGAAAAGAAAACTTAATAATGTATATATATATATACTTGTCAAAATTTCTAGCTAATAGATCTTTACGTGAAATTTCACTCATTGTTGGAAAGTGATTGACTTTTTGGTAAGGTTTCAACGCTGATACAATATCCATCGATATCAATGTATCATGCCACAATAGATTACAATTAACATCATTATCAGAACTTATAGCAAAGCCAAATATATCAGCAGCTTGACGAACTAAAGTAAAAAAAAAAAAAAAAAAAAAAGAATAATTGATTTAAAATAATGGAATTTTTATATTATCCAAAATCAGGTTTTTATAAATAGATAAGAATGATAATTCATTTTTGTAATTTTTGATAAATAGCATTATATAATTAGTTAAAGTACGATATTAGTATTTTTATTTCACTATATTGTTCTTCCTTAAGATTATGCTGTTATCTATTGCATAGATTGTAATATAATGCCATGATAAAAATTAAGTTAAATATTATTTTGTATTTTGATAAATTTCTTCTCATATTTATGGATTCAATATAATTCACAAGTGTACTCGAGAAGTGTAATTATTAGTTCTATAGCTCAAAATATAAACAACATTATATAAATGAAGAATATTTACTTTCATTCGTAGTCCCTACACGTTCAACAGGCTCCATAAATAAATCAAAAATTGCAGTTTAAAGATCATAATTTGGTCTTTTGTGACCATAGTAATATTACTTCTGATCAGGGTTCTCCATTGTTTTCGAGAGTAGAAGGAGTAAAAAATTCAGTAGAACGCATCTTCGTTCGACTTTCTGTGATGCTTCATTTGAGAGAAAATGTCTTGGTATGAATATATGTTAGAAGTAGAGCTAAAATTTCCTTTCCGTCAGGATTTCCTGCAAGGCTATAAAAAAAAGAATTCGCTGAAGTTTCGAAATTTTTGATAGGAGAAAGCTTCTACCAATCCTTTTAATATGAAATAATCCTGTTTTCGGTTTGCTGGATTATTTGTGTTTGATGCATCTTACAAAATAATATAATGAAATCGTATTTTAGTCATACAACGACGCAGTATTATAAATATATTTTTTTTCCAACAATACTTCGTCATCAAACAAGTGATCAATAATTAATAAGTAAATAAAAACTTTGAACATGAAAAATGAACTCATTTGTATGAATTAGTCGATATTTTTCATGATCATAGCTATTTTTAGAGTTATTATGATAGTGATGACCATGAAAATTAATGATTTTAAAATAAACTGTACTTTGTTATTTAACTAAATCTATCCGAGAGAATTATTGTTTTGTTAAGGTTTCTTTAAATATTTTTTCAGTAAACAAAACAAATGCTTGAAATATAAAAACAACAACAACTTACCAACAGCAAACTTCGTGCCTGAAACATTTGCATTGAGACCTCGTTTCTTTTTTGGTTTATATGGTAATTTATTTATATCAACATATTGTTGTTCACGTTCTCGTTTTAGTTTTTGTTCACGTAATAATTTTATCAGATCTTGAAAAGCTTTTGTTGAATCTTTTATTGAACCTATATCAAAATGATTACGTTGGACACCTAATTTTTCACCTAATTGCTGTAAATCCATACGACTATGACCGGTTATAAGAGATACATGAAGTGCTATTTGAAGAAGTTGATTTTCGGGTGTATGAATTAAATGCCGAAACGCAATTTCATAAGATATTTTAGGTTGATTATGAGATTTCGAAAAACTATGTTGATGATTGTTGTGTTCAGAAGCTTCATCCCAAATACGAACAGATTCAGACATAAATTCTCTTGTTGATGTTGCTTCGAAGATAATTGTCATTAGAGCTAGTAAATGAGAACGATTAAGGTAAGTACGATCAGCATCTGTCAATGTTTTGAAAGTATCAAGATTTACTATTGGCCATGGTTCACAATTTGATGAACATGTTTGTTGGTTTCGTTGTTTTAATTTAATTATTTCAAGTGTTTTATGCATAATACCATGACAAATATAAACTAAATTTTCAATACCCATTGATTTGAATCGAAAATGATCATCTTCATATGCTCGAAATTTCCATTTTCCTTCAATGATTATTTCATATAAAGAAATATTACTCAACATTCGAGATAAAGGAAAATGTAAAGATTGATCAGCAAATGATTTTTTCAATGTTTCATTATATCTATACGACTCCTGACTATCCATTTTTGATGGTTGATCCGATGTTCGCGCACTTGTCGTCCTCATTTCCATTTCATTGAGTGTTTTGTAGTCATAAATACTTGATGTTGGTTGATGTTGACCTCGAACACTATTGGGAGAACGAAGCATTACTTCTGTCAATCATTCAATAGCAACAACAAACACCAGAAGAGTCGAATTACAATATTATCTAAACAGAAGACATTAACCACTATTGAAAACTGGAAAATGTTAGGCAACAAACCTCAAAACATAACTGGTTAAATAATAAACCTGATAGGTATCGCCAGTCATCATGAAACAGCACCTATGAGAGTAAACATAGAATACATGATGAAAAATGGAAGAAGTACGGCACCTGAATAAACAATATTTATTCAAGAGCATTTTTCTTCTTCGCTATCATAGCAGAATAAATCATACTCCAGACACTCTAGGTTTTGAGTTTTTCTTTTTTGTTCTGAGTTTTTTTTTTTGGCATATGATATTGACAACAATGTACGGGCTTTGTTCAGATGAAACCAGTCGCTTCTGCTTTATATTGAAATCGAGAAAAGTGGCTTTTTTCAAAAAACGTTTGAATTTTCATGCATTGTTTTTACACTTTGATGTGCAATTGATAGTATCGACACGTTAAACTCGTCTGAAAAATCAAAACTTCTTAGAAATATCTTTTGACTAAGGTCTAGTTTAAAACTTTTTCTGGTTTTCCATTGGTGCGAATCGGCGTATCAATCGTTCTCCAGCTACCTTCTGTGCACTAATTTGGTAGGATAAACTGAAGAAAAAAGTTATCTTCACTACCAAATTCGTATTGTGGTAGATCTTATCGGAGAGTTATATAGGCAGCGAGTTCTCAAAATACGTTTGTTTCAATTTTTGTGCTCATTTCGCAACTGACTGTATACTCATAATTTACTCAGGTCGATGATTTCAGCCCTCGAATATGGCAGGCATTTGTTGAAAACTGCTTTTTTCCTCAGTCGATTCACGGGAAACAGTAGCTTCTAAACGCTTCCCGCCACTATAAAAATTAAGGAACTACACTAAATCCAAATTAAAACATACGAGAATAGAGTCTTATCCGCATCAAAACAATATCAAAACCGTATCGAAGTTTCAAAAATACATTGTACAGGGTGTTAAAAAACGATTACGTCCCTCTCTACAACTTGAGGTATAAATGATATCGTCAAGTAGTTTATACCAAATTAAAGCGTGTCGAAAATTGGATTTATTGCTACTAAAATGTGAAGGTTATGGAACCTTTTCAACGTTGAACCTAAAACGTTTTCAGAAATTTTATACGTTTTTGGCATAGAAACTTGAGGTGCTATAATTTGGAAATAAAATAACACTTTTCTTGGATATTTATGTGTGGTTTGATAGAGCTCGTCGAGCTCTACAAACGCGTATATACCAAAAAATTTTAAGCCGTCTTTTATGAGATAAAAAGTGCAAAAAACTACTTGAGAAATCTCGAAAACGTTTAAAAAATTCTTTTTTTCCGAATGGAAGAAAAATATCCGATTTTTCAAATAGAAATTGCTACTTTCACTTTTTTTACTACCTCAGACATCTCGAAATATACTCATCAGACGCAGTTTTTCATACTGCATCGAATGAGTATATTTCGAGACGTCTGAAGTAGTGAAAATAATGAAAAAAGCTATTTTGATTGGAAAATCAGGCATTTTTCTTCCCTTCAAAAAAAAAATAATTTTTTTTAAACATTTTGCGACAATTCCCAAGTAGTTTTTTGCACTTTTTATCTCACAAAAGACGGCTTAAAATTTTTTAATATATACGGTTTGGTAGAGTTCGACAAGCTCTATTGATTGGTATAAAATACTTGGTGATATCATTTATACCTGAAGTTGTAGAGGGGGAGGGCTTAATGGTTTTTTAACAACCTGTAAATAAGATATCAGTCGAAAAAATCATCAATTATCTTGCTTAAATAAACTAGCTATTGTATTTTCACAGTTAACTTGTATACGATGTAAGAGTCAAAAAAGAGCTTTTTCTACTAAATTAGCGATAGGAGTCTTAGAAATAAGTTATAAGTACGGTTTTTGTTGAAAAAGTACTTTTAAAGATCTTTTCTTATGAACACTAGCTATGGAATCTCAGAAAGACTCCGTGACTAAGATGTGGAAAAATGAATCTAGTTAAGGGTAGGGTGTGGATGATTGAGGAGTTAATCCCTTCATCTTCATTCATGTCCAAAACTCCGTCACCTGAGCGAGGAGCTTTTGACCAACACGATAGACTAAAATGAATATAATTGACATCCTATGGATTTATCTCTTGCACATGACCTTTATTCCATTTACATTTTAGCAATATTATGTTGTTCTTTTCATTTTACACAACCAACCCGAGTCGAACATCTCGTAAGCAAGATCTTGAACAAGATACAAGGTACAGAAAAGTGAACAGATCTTGAAAATTTAGGTACAAGATAATCATATTATCTTGTACCAATATCTTTAATTAGATCTTGGGTACAGATTCTTAAGATCTTATATACAGATCTGTAAGATTTTGGCTGTAGAAACTCAATATCTTGAAATTAATTTCCAATTCTTTGTGATGCTTTTTATTGATCTCTGTTGCAGGCAATTGCATTCTTTTTACACTAATATGAAGTTTTCCAATAGCCTCAGTGGAAATCTGCTGTTCAGTTTGTATTGCAGAGTGAGAAATATATACTAAACATTTAATTCAAGTTTCTTTTTCAATAAAAAATAGTACAAGTAGCAAGAACCAAAATGATGCTGCAAATTTTCTAGTTAATATAAGTAGTTTTAAGAGTTTAAAAATCTAGCTCTTTATGCAAATTCAAATAATAAAAAGCTATCGAGTAAAGACACTGATTTCTTGTCCTATGTTCATATTTAGATCTAGTCTTTTTAGCGCGTTAAACTTTTAGTTTTTTTTATTGTTGTTACAAATGTTGAATTCTCATCCTCCTTGATTTTTATTTTGAAGACATCGGATAATATTGATAA